ATTTTGTATTGCATTTTTGATACATATTTTTCACTATTGTTTTTTTTTTTTCTTTTTTTTTTTCTTTAAGTCAATCTTCTTCTTCTTTCTTTCTCTTGTTGCATATGTCTTTCCCCATATCAATGTCGCTTTCAATCCCCCCCGAGACATGCTAGTATACTACCATACACCACCACCACCCAAAACAAACCACGTCCGGGATGAATTATGGAATCTGGTAAGCCCTGAAGCGGCACTTTCTGTACAAATTAAATATCAATCCTCGCCGAAATCACCGGCAGTGGAGTTGCAATTGAAGAAACCCATAAACAATATCAGAAAAGAGAATACATCCAGTATTATACATAACCATCGACCTGTCCAGCCCCAACATACCCAGACCAGTTCAATCGAGTTCTATCAAGATATTCATGCTTTTATGGCCTACGCCTGCTGAGGCTGCTTCTCTTCCGCCCCTTCCTCTAGCCCCAAGCTATCTTCAGTACTTGGGATCTCCGGAGCACCGGTAAATGCTGCTGTCCTCTGTTCCTGGACCTGGGCTTCCGATTTAGCCCATACCTTCCAGCGTTCATATTCTTGGTTTTCAAGTTCCATGCCGACTTCAAGGCGGGTAGGTCCGAATGTAGCACCTGTGGCTTCGGCTTCTTCGGCAGCGACTCGCCGTTCAATGTCTTCCTGGAGACGTAGACGATAGAATTCACGACGCGCAATATCATAGGCAGTGCTCTTAGTCATATCGGGGACATTGTTAAGGAGCCAGAGCTGACGCTGGACGACGCTGTTTTGCGGGAACAGGGAAATGTTTAGCGTCGGGGGAAACGATAGAACCCGGATGGCATTCGTTCTGAAGCAACGAGACAGAGAAAAACATACCTCTCACCATCCAATCGCTTGCCTGGTTGCTGGAGCCGGCTCCAGTCATAGTTTTCATAATCCTTTCCGGTACTTTCAAGCACCACTCGGGGTCTCGCAAGCTCCCAGGGGTGATCACGGAAAAACTCCTTTCGCAACAGGTCCTCTTCGTACTTGATCTCGGTGGGCAGGAACATACGGCTGGCTTTTTTCGGTTTCACACGCTTCTCTTGAACTTCAAAAACGACCTGCGGCTTCGAGGCTCCGGGAAGCGTTTTCACACGCTGGCGGACGAGCTGGTGCTGCTGTTGTTGATTCCGCACCAGGACCTGGGCGGGGGGGATATCGCGCACGACATTGATCCATTTCGGGATTTGGTGAGTCTTACCGGCCTCCTTCTGGCGGAGCGCCGTCTGTCGGACTCGGAGAGCTGTGAGATTGTATTTGCCCATGGCGGGATCGGAGGAAGGCGGCGGCCAGAAGGGCGGCCGTAGGGGATAGGCCGATTAGGATGGAAGAATTGGAGAGGGACCAATGGCCAAGTAGAACGCACGTAATTGTCCAAGAACAATCTCCTCCGGGGGACAGACGATGGAGACCTGCGGTACGGTTTGATCGTGGAGTTTTGGCGATGGTGGCCGAGCGCGCGGGTGAAAAAGAGGATTGGCAATGAGCGGCTCCGATTGGACCGACAGTGGCTCCGCTCCGGTGCAAAGCCAAAGAGATTATTGAGGGAGAACATAATAATTTGACGCGGAGCTTCACCTTAGAACCACCCTTTCCCAATCCTCCTCCCCCCCAAATTCAGAGTTTGTCTTCATTCGCGGCCTGCCACGCTCGAGGAGCAGTCTGCTCAATTCTTTTCAATCTGCTCGAGACCTCCTCGGGATATGCACGGCTGACTCGATGCCACGATGTCTGCCGTCTCATGCCTCATCCCAATAGGTTCCAGAGCTCGCCCAACCTGCGACTGCCCCCTTCGCAGGGTTTGGATACGTGCTTCTCCGTCAATTGCAGTTCCATGTCTAAACCAGAATCATTCTCCTACAATGCTTCCCTCCGGAGACTCGGCTCCAGACGCCCTCGCCCGTCCGCTGCCTCTATAGCAGACCTTTTCGTCAGCTCGCTGGTGATGGCAGGCTACTGCCGGGAGCACTCCCCTCGAGGACGAGGGCTGTCAACAATGTCTGCAAAGACTTCGAGGTGCGAGATGGCGAGATGGCGAGACAGGGGCGTGACGAGTACAGGGCATTTGCCGAAAAGACGCCTGGATTATCTAGGGTCACCGGCAAAGTGTCTGGGGGTGGTGCATCGTCCAAGAACACAACGGATGTTCAACTCCGGTATTGCGCAAAAGTTAGAAGACGACGAGAGCGAAGACATTCATATATCAAACCGATCAATAGAGAGACCCTCGCCTAGGATACATCACAAAGATGCGGAATCAGAACAAAGGCCACATTTAGATGGGAGGTTACCACCACCGCAACACGCGCTCGAAGAATTGAATTGCGAGTCGATGACAGGCACCTTCACTCTAGAGGAGTCAGAACAGAACACGTCTCGCCTCGCCTCTAGAGAAAACGCACCTGACCACCAAGTAGATCCGCCTGCGGTACCGGCCATATCCCGCTACCAGGGGAAGACGAGCCCGGCTAAAGAATTACACGAAGCTACCTCAAAACTATACCGTTCTGTGTTTGGGGATTCCTTGGATTGGAAGCAGGCTGTTGACACTGTTGTTGATGATGGGCAAGTTGATTCATCGTCACCTCGACCTGTTGTGCTTCGTAAGGATAATAGAGAAGATGCCTTGGAGCTTCAGTCGGTTGCGGTATTCGTTGAAGCCATGTGGGACGAAAAAAAGTCTAACCAATATATTTTCCGACTGTACAGAGATCTTCCATATCCAGGAGTTTCGTACTTGTCGAAAAGGACACGAGGGGCACTTTTGCGGCGATTCGCTAACCCTCCTAACCGCCGATGGGTTGATGCTCGCCGCTACCTCGGGATAATAGAAGACATGGTAGCTGCCAAACTTCCGGTGTCGCGGTCCTTGTGGAGTTCTGCTATTCATCTGGCAGGCCGTGCATCTGGCAAAGTGTGCAAGAGGGATTTGGTGAGATCAATCGGCCTCTGGCAGCAAATGGAACATGTGGCCGGGGTCAAGTCAGATGGCGTCGTCTTTAACATCCTTTTCGATATAGCCATTAAAGCTGGCCAATTCACAGTCGCAGACCGTCTAATGGAGGAAATGGCGAGACGTGAAATTACTTTTACCCGCCCTGGAAAGGTTTCCAAAATGTACTACTGTGGAATGCAGCAGGATGCCGATGGCATCCGTCAGACGTTCGATGCATTCGTGACTAGTGGGGAGATTGTTGACACAGTGGTGCTGAACTGCCTGATAGTATCCTTTCTTCGGGCTGGGGAAACGAAGACTGCAGAGCAATTATATCATCGCATGATGCAGGCACAGAACACCGTTGAGCTTGATCTCGAGAGGCTACATCACGGGCCGAGTTTGACCTCAGAGTTCATGGTTTATCGCAAGAAGTCCAGGAAGCTCAATCGGCTCTTACAAGTATCTGCTTCTCTTAAGGATCGACTGCCTGAACATCATCGAGCTTTGCAGGAGGCCCTTCCTATGACACCCGACACGCGGACATTCCATATTCTTCTTGCTCACCACGCCTATCGATCGGGCAACCTACACGCTTTCATGTCGGTCATCGGTGACATGGAAAAAACCTTTACAGTTCCACCGCGTGGAATGATATATCTGTTGCTTTTCGACGGATTTGCTTACAACGGCCGAAAGAGAAAGGGCTGGACCGCTGAACGGCTGTGGAACGCATGGCGAGCGTATCTTCGCGCTCTCTACGAATCGAAGAACAGATTCAATGACCGCTTTCATCTTCGCACAGCAAAACTCGTTTGGGAAAATCCGCTAGGAAGTAGCGCTGCATTGCTGGCGGCACAGACACCTACACTACCAAGAAAACCAATCGGTTTATACACCCCATTGCCATCAGGCAAGTCCGAGGCAGACGCCACGTCTGCAGAACACCAGCAGGAGCAGGTAGACGAGAGTGACGAAACAAGCAAGGAAGATGTCGACGAATTAGGTGCCAATGATGGGGTAGCCGAATTCGATGATGACATTGATACCGACGAGTTGTTCAATTACCGAGGCCGAGACCAGCATGGCGAGGACGGCGAGCTTGAAGTGCTGGAACGCCAGATTGAGAATGGAGTATTTTTAGGTCGTCGGATGATCATCATCATTCTTCGAGCATTCGGTGCTTGCTGCGGACCTAAGGAAGTTATGGAGGTCTGGTTGCACATCGAACGACTTTGGCAACCCAAAAGGCGCAAGGCGCTTGACGTCATGGCCGTAAAGGAGGAACTGGAGAAGCAAATAAACAAAGGCAGTAGGAGACACTGAAGCCTGACTGAATGGAGTTCAGTGCGTGTACATTATAGACCTGTTATATATACCCTCCAGGTGCATACCAGTTGATGACAGCTATTAGACTAACTGCACTATCTTGATCCTGTACAGTGAATATTTTTGTGACATCTAGTTTTAGCAATAATAAATTGAACCTCAAAAAAGACTTAGACATCCAGAAGATAAACCAGACAGGCATTCGAGCTCACTGTTTACTACTATTACTACATCAGGAAAAGTAATGACTGCCATCCCACGTGATATCGCGTTCCATCTTTTACTTCAACGCGTTTCGCAGGACTTCCCTCAAGTAAATTCAAACAAGCCTTCTCTTTCATTCATTAAACCCATAAATTTCTCGATATAAAGATGCAGCGGAGATGATACACGGCAATCTGACGCGTCGCAAGGTAGACTTGGACTTTTATCTGCACCGGGTTTTCCGAAAGAAGTCATTCCGGTGAGTGCGTTTACTCTTGGGCTAGCACTTAAACTAACTAACCGTATGCTCTGAATAGTCCCCTACAGCGAGAGGTAGTCACCGCAGCCGTAGAAGGCCACGATGTCTTCCTGCAGGCATCCACATCCTTTGGAAAGAGCTTGTGCTTCCAATTGCCTGCCGTCATCAGCCATGGCGGTTGGTCAACCTCCACCATGTAGACTCCTGTCTGAGACATTCGACGTATTCTAAATGTTCCTCTCTTACACAGTGACTGTCGTTGTATGTCCTCTCCTTGCATTGATGGTAAGTTAAAGCCGACGCAATACCAGGAATCCACGTCATTGAAGCAACGCACCTGCAGACAGACCAAGTAAACGCGCTACAAGCCTTAGGAGTAGCAGTGGCAACCATCAACTCGACGACCTCTCTATCAGAGAGACGCGAGATCCTCGCAGACCTTCTCTCAGGACATCCCCGAACCCGCCTTCTTTATGTCACCCCAGAGCTATGCCAAACGGAGATGTTCCGGCGGAATCTCCAAACTATCCATTCGCAGGGAGAGCTGAATCGTATCGCCATTGACGAGGCCCACTGCATCAGTGAATGGGGTCATGACTTCCGCCCAGCGTACAAGGAACTCTCCTGGTTCAAGCGGGCCTTGAACAACCCCCCAGTTCCGATCAGCGCCTGCACGGCGACTGCAACCCCGCGTGTCCGAAAGGACATCATTAACCTCCTTGGTTTAGATCCCGGCCGACTGAGGATTTTCAATACACCATCAGCTCGACCAAACATCCATTACGAGATCAGATATCTCCAAAATTCCATCGACGACTCGGGAGACTCCGGAAAGGCCCAAGTGGACGACTTCGTCTCCTGGCTGAAGTCCATCCAGAGTCGCCGAGAGGCCAGATTAGGCGGAGAAAATGCTAATCTTCCACCTATATCTGGTATCATTTACGTCTCCTTCAGATCAGCCTCGGAGAACCTTGCCGGCATTCTGTCGACTTCATGGAACGGCAATATCCGAGCGGTTGCGTATCATGCCGGTCTTTCCTCCCAAGACAGGACTCAGATCCAGTCCCAGTGGACTTCCCCGCAGTCACTCCCAGAACAAAGCGGCCAAACCCCAGCATTCTACATAATAGTCGCAACGAATGCGTTCGGCATGGGAATCGATAACCCCCATGTCCGATTCGTAATCCATTGGAACCCGCCCCGAAGCTTCGAGGGGTTTGTCCAGGAGTCCGGTCGCGCAGGTCGCGATGGTCGTGCCGCCGCATCAATTGTATACTTCAACACCCAAGAGCGAGATAAAGCACTCGATCGTATCCGACGAGACGTTGAAAATGCCTACAACCGCGCCAACAAGAAACCCGCGAATGGAGCACCAAAGGACGATCCTAACAGCAATCTACAAAACCAATACGCTCGGCTGCGGAGTTTTCAAAAAGTGGTTCGCTATTGTGAGTCAACTAGCCGCTGCAGACATGACATGATCAAGGATTTCTTTGGGGACCTGGAACTGGAGAGGATGGGTTCTCAGGCCCCGAGCTCCGAAACGAGAACCGGCTCAGGCGCATCACCGTGCGACTTTGCTTGTGACTTTTGCAAGGAAGGCCCCAGGAGTCTAACGCTTCGCAAGGCACGGATGACCGTTGAGAATGAGCTGATGGATTGTACGCAGTGGGATTACATGTCGAACATGGAGGCAATGTATCCGGATGCGTTCTCTGGTTTCGACTAGGGATGAACTGCGGCATGGCTATGTATCCTCTGCTCTTGTGTATAACATACAGGGGTAAAAGAAATATATAATCAGATCAATGAATCTACCAGAGATGGCCATCTTAGATTTTAGAGTGTCTGTATAGTGACAATGTTTGGCATTGTTACCTATTCTATTCTTTCTTCGAGCAATATAACCTGCACGGCATAGGCCAGAATTCTCAATACGTGGCATCCAAAGAATAGCAGCTAAGTATAAGATTCTGAAATATACTATTCATTCGAAAACCAATGGCCTCTACTACGCTTGTAAGCATTGCGCAGAAGAAAGATATGGAGCTGAGCGAGGAATTCCAATCTTTTCTAGCACGAAGACAATATTGCCCAAATCCGAATTCATCAGATGTCAAACATAGAGATAAGCTATAAAGTTACACCTGCCAATAAGTAGGTGAATTTATCGGCAACGGTACCAAGGTAGAGTAGTTCGATTCCTCCTGCTTTTGCGGTTGTTGTCCATTTCAAATAACTAGGGGAGGACATGCTCACAGGCCTGGTGGGGGTGGGACCTATATCATACCGGGTCAGTAAAGGCAAGCCATTCTTTAATGAGACCTTGGTAAATACGTACTGCACTGTAGCTGCCACCGGGAGGAGGTGGAGGGGGGGAACCTGAACCAGGAGGCGGAGGAGGCGGCGCTTCACTAGTCGGAGGGGGAGGAGGGGGCGCGGGACTTGGGACTGCGACTGCGGCTGAGACTGCTGTTGCTGCTGTTGGGCATATTGCTGATAGTATTGGTAGTAGGCGACGTAGTTCTGATATCCACCGTAGGCAGCGTAGGGATCGGATCCGTAGTACTGTGCATACTGTGCGCTATAGTCGGCTAGGTTCTGTCCTCCCGATGTTCCTGTTGCGCCTTGCGTGGCTGGGCTACCAGACGTAGAGGGCGAGTTCTGGTGCGAATGATTCCCATAGCCACCGCCGCCACTGCCACCCCCATGACCCCCGCCGTAGCCTCCACCATAGCCCCCTCCCTGATAACGGTCTCCACGCTGACCATATCCGCCATAGTTGTGCTGGGGTGGGTTCTCCTTGAAGCGCTGATACTGTTCTCGAACATTGGCCAAAAGGTCCTCGCACAGCTCTTTTGCGCTCTGAACATCGTTGGGATCGGGTCCACTGTGCGTTATTAGCCTTCAGAGCTTCAAGATGAGGGGATAGATTACTTACGCAACATGCAAGAACATCGGCTCCTCGCTTTCTCTGCCAGTACTGGGTTCCATGAAGCCGGAGCCCCGACCTTTGATTTGGACCTTGCATCGGGTTCTCTGCTGAATATGCTTTACATACGCACCGCCCTGTCCGACCACTTGGGCACGAAGGTTAAAGCCAGGAATTGGCTCAAGGTCCACTGGAATCCGCTCTTCGGGCCATTTACGCTGAGAATAGTTAGCATGCCTCTCAGCCCTATGGAAAATATTCCTGCAATTTCATACACGACCGTATTCGTCACGTTCCACTTGTTCCGGCTCACGTCGACGGAATCGGCGCTCATCGACCAGATTGGGGAGTTCCTTCTTCATGAGCTCGTCGATCAAATCCACGGCCTTTTCGAGGCCCTCTTTATTCGTACTCGTCACATGTAGGTACAGCGGGGGGTTCTGTGGAGAGTGGCGGTACTCTGTCAGATAGTCACTCGTCACCGCACGTGGACAATTTCACATACCGCGGCAGTTGCCATGCTCTTATCCGGGTAATAGTTTCCTCGAGTCGTGACATCTTAAAACAAAAATTAGAGATGAGCTTCTTTCTTCACTAATAGTTGACAAGTTTAACATGGAGTGAAGGCGTACCGGCGCCAGTTTCTTCCTTGATCTAGAGGTCACGCAGCGGAGGTCAGCAGATGCAAACGAGGGGAAATGGGATGCTATGGATGATTAGGACTGGGTAAGCTTTGGCCACGACCCTATGCGGAGAAATAGAAGAAAAAGATAAGAAAAGGCAAAGGGTGAAGGGGCGCATGGCCGCAGCGGAAACCAGCTTGCGAAAGGATGCCTGGAATATCAGCGGATGCAACAGGAGTAATTACCATCTTCTGAGTAGAGCCCTTGGTCAGTGTGTAACGGTTGCGCAAGTCATTAATCTCAATGTCCTTGATATAGTCTCCATCAGCAACGTAAATGTCTGCGTTAAGTTTCGATGCTTCTCCAGCGGACGGTGATGCGGCTGCCGGTGCGGGACTTGTTGCCTACCAGAACAATTAGTTAGTTGTGTATCTTCCTGGGTTTGAGCGACAGTAGTCACGCATGGTATACTCACCGAACGGATAGGTGGAACATCGACATGCTGAATACCCTTCTTTGCTTGCAACTGAGCGTTGATCTTGGCCGCTGCGGCAGCTATATTTTGTCACGATGTCAGCCTCTTGTATCTCCTATATCCCATCCAACAATTTCTTCCAAAGCACAAGGGAGGGCAGTCATACCTGCAGCAGCAGCAGGGTCCGCGCCCCCAGACTTCTTTGCCGGGTCTGCGCTAGGGCTTCGAGGTTCGCGACTAAGCGGGCTCCGAGTACGAGTAGCTTCAGACTGTCGCGAGGAGGGAGATCGAGAACGACGATCGAAACGAGAGGCCCGGCGAGGCTCTGCTTCTGTTTGATCAAAGCGGGATCGTTTGACACGGCGTTCGTCGTCGGCCATGATGAACAGGGAATTTAGATGTTGAGAACTGAACAAGAAGGAATTGGAGCAATCACAATGCGAGTGAGATGCTCTAAAGACTGGTACCACCGCAAAGGACTTCTTTGAAGGCGGTGGAGAGCGACGGATCACCTGGTTGGACGCTAGTGTGCTCTGGGGCGGTGGGACCAATGAGCGAGAAGATGTAACCCAAGAAAATCGAGATGTTGAAGTATAATTCCGTAGAAGAACAGGAGGCTGAATCCTCAATGAGAACAAATCTGTAGGAAAACAAAAGATGATCTGGCAGTGATCTGAGATATACCGTGATATACGCACATACACACACACTGGCACCAACCAAAAGCAAGAGTCACGAATGAATCTGGGCCCCCAAAAAAGCAAGTCAATGCTGCACTGTGACCAAAGTGGTATAGCGGGAATGGTCCGGAGTCAGTGACCGACTCCGTCCCAGAGCCTGAGTCAGCACCCCGACCTCGGAAGTCTTCGACTATAAAATGCGATTTATGACTACAATCCCCATCCGTCGAGTGTGAAGTCACTGCCTCCATCGTTTCCTTCGTATTGCCTGCTTTCTCTTGCAGGCCAATTCGGGAGACCATGGCTTTCCGGCGTCCTTTGATGCTGTCCAAGACAGCATCAGCGCCTTTTTCCTCTGTTGCTGGCAGAACTGCCCGAGTGGCTGCGACTCTGCCCCGATTCACCACAGCTAGAGCCTCTTCCAGCTCGACCTCCGCCCTCGCCTACAAGGCGCTCCATCGTCGCTCTCCCCTTCCTCTTCCTGTGTCGGACTCCTCTCCACAATGGGATGCCCCGACTGCCGTCTCGTCGATTCTGTACGAGACCCCCGTTGCGCCGACCAACCCCCCGAAGCGCCATATCCTGAACTGTCTGGTGCAGAACGAGCCTGGTGTTCTGTCTCGCGTTTCGGGAATTCTGGCCGCTCGTGGCTTCAACATTGACAGTCTGGTCGTGTGTAACACCGAAGTCGAAGATCTGTCCCGCATGACCATCGTGCTGCAGGGTCAGGATGGTGTCGTCGAGCAGGCCCGTCGCCAGCTGGACGATCTCGTTCCCGTTTGGGCCGTCCTCGACTACACAGACTCTGCTCTCGTGCAGCGCGAGTTGCTTCTTGCGAAGGTCAGCATCCTGGGCCCCGAGTTCTTCGAGGAACTGCTTCAGCACCACCGCGAGATTACCACTTCCGGCGAGACCCTCGAGGGCCAGAAGGATAAGGCCGAGGGCCACAAGCAGATCACTGAATTCCACCCCCGCAATCTGCCTCCCAGTCAGGCATTGAGACACAAGCACGAGCATCTTGATGCCATCACCCGCTTGACCCACCAGTTCGGCGGCAAGGTTCTCGATATTAGCAACAACAACTGCATTGTCGAAGTGTGAGTGGTCATTTACCTCGTACGCATTGGTGCATTCACTGACATTGTTAATAGCTCTGCCAAGCCATCTCGTATCGACTCCTTCATGAAGCTCATCGCTCCTTTCGGTGTATTGGAGTCTACCCGTACCGGTTTGATGGCTCTGCCTCGTTCTCCTCTTCACGAGCAAGTTGAGGAGATTGAGAAGGAGGCTGCTGATGTTGTCGACGCAAGCACCCTTCCTCCTGGTTAAATTGGATATCCGAAATGAAAAAGATTCGCAATGAAGAAGCAAACTTGTTTTCCTCCGAGGGTATAATATTTAGTGTAAATTTTAGCAGTTCTTTTTTGTTTTTCCTTGTTAGTCACGCACTTCTCATGAGTACATCATCTATGTTTCCATGTCGTCGACGTGAAATTTGGTTCAGTTTAGCTTCATCGCCCTTCACAGGCATGTATTTCTTAATCGTGGTAGTGGTATGGTAACTTCAAGTTGTATTAGTAGGAGAGGAAAAAATGGAGTTGGTAGCCAATTGCTCAGTCCCGAAATCCAACCCCGCACAACTGTCTTACAGCCAATACTATGCCCTCTATACCCAAACGCCAGCCCCCGTAGCTTGAGAAGGCGAAAACAAAACGCCCAAGAATAAAGAGTGGATGCTTCTAAATACCATTCGCAAAAGCCATGCCGCTAAATCTTCACCCTTGCGGTGATCCCCTGACCATAGTATGTTATGGTGGTGCGATAGTGTCGAATCAGCACACAAACCTTTGCTACAGCATCCAACTTGAGTGTACCGCCAAGCGCTCTCTTCAAAGCGTCATATCCTATCCCACTCAGATTTAAATCAACGGGTAGCCGCGGGGTCGTGGAGAGCCCCGGTGGCACCGGGAACGGAATGTAGTAATTGATACTACCAACCTCTTCATGCTTCTCATAGAAGGCATTGGCTTCTACCGACGTGATCTCTATGGTCGTATTAGGAAATGGGGAAGACAATGTGAACTCCGCCGTTGATGACCATAGGTGTAGCTAGTAGCAGGCAAAAGTCAGCAAGACCAAAAGCACCTTGTAGAAAACTGTCTTTACTTGGAAGATGTTCCCCAGGAGAACATATCATCAATAGTGATTGTCGTGTAGAGAAACGACTTCCATGAAAGTAGACAGTACCGTTGTATCCTGGATAAACTTTGGCTTTCCATCCTCATCACTAGGGTTTCCCGGGACAGGCACCCTTGGGATTGGGACTTCAAGTCCTAGCCTGGAGAGCGCCTGTCCAAGTTCTGGTAGAGCCGGGAATGTCCCCTCATGACTGCGAATTATTACGGACGTGTTGTACCCTGGTAGTAGTTAGGCAAACAGACCCACGTAGCAAGATCTCAGGTAAACAATCTCACCGGAAACATATCGGGAGAGCATCTCTTGGCCAGCAGTAATACCAGCCGAGCCATCTAATTCGAGTGGATTCCATTGTAGGTCGGCATGGATACCAGAATTTACCCCAGGCACAATCACAAGGTCTCGAGCAGTTACGTGGGCCACTTTGGTCTTATTGTAGATAAGCACTAAATCAATGAAAGGTACCGAAGCGGAGTATGGCGACGGATTCGTCATGTTGATTTTGGCTTTCATCACGAGTGACGATTCAGTTGTAGGTCCGAGTGCTATCGATTCGACCCGTGGACTCAGTCGTTCGAGTGAGTCACCGTACGGTGCTATTCAGGTATCAACAAACCAATACGCCTGTCTCAAGTTATTGCGACTTACGCTTGACGTTCACGGCACCCTCAGCTGGTATTCCACGGACAGCATAGGTTCCAATCCCTGTAGAGACCTCTGCATCCACATTTGCAGCAACAGTCAGTCTCACAGGCTGTCCTTCAAAGAGTAAGGCTTGTAGAATATCTGTCAAAACATCCCCATCAGTCACCTGAAGTGGCGTATGCTTCATGGAAAACTCAACGAGCAGAGCTGGAGCTCCATCGACATTTTCCAGAAGGGTGGAATTAGCTGGCTGCCATTCTTGTAAATTCAAAACACCAAGCTTCTCCCCATGATAATAGATATCAGAGTTGGCACGAACACGAGGTACATCCAGGTAAATAAGGTTTAGCTGCTTAGGCAACCCAATCAAGACTTTCACTAAGGCGGATACCCTAGGTTGAGACTCGGGTGTATCAGGATCTGCAAGAGGATTAGGCATGTCGAAATGCACATCTGTCATGGTGAAGTTTTTGACGAGATTGTCCAGAGCATGTCCGGTAAAAGCCAAGGGTACTGTCACAGTCTTGAGAATGTCTACCACCCACTCAGGCGTTTTCAGAGATGGAACGTCGGCTCCACGAACATAAACTGTAGTCTGAAGACCTTCCATATAACTCTTCATTAGAAAATCCAAGGGAGATTTTTTCTTTCCAGGACAAGCCTTTGTTAGATCATCAGAAAGGCCCTGGACAATTCCCGCAACGTCGATAGATGTGGGTTGTCCTGAATATATCGGGAATCCTTTTGTTGAGACTTCCGCTACTGAGATATATGGGTCGTCTGGCGAGCAGTTGGGCACGAGCACCTCAAACCCGAGCGGAGGGATCCTCAGGCCAAAGGGGGAATCGACAAAAGCAGCCACGGAGGCATCTACTGCCATAGCCCCGTCATGTCCGGGCGTATCTATATCGTGCACATTGAACTTTGTAACATTGACTTTGGGGAGGGTTGGGAAATCGCCCTCTACATACAACGTCAGAGATCACTTGTCAAAAAAAGAATCGCGTGACCTACCATGGAAGGTTATAGAGTGGGTTATCGTTTGTTCGCCCAGACTCAAAATACCAGATCTGAGTGGTACTGTTGCTGTCCCCTGCAGTCGTAAGTGGCCGAGTCTCCCTTCTAACCAGTCTACTGCTACCGCGTGGATACCAGGGATGTCGCCAGCGACTAGGTCCGCCAAGACGTTAACGTGGTTGATGTGGCCATTCTGTATGTTGACTTTGATAGAAGGTAGAGATGCCGTTCCAACGAGTACGTTGCCATACTCTGGAAGATGCACTTCGACTTCCGACTGGCCTGTCTCGGCCTCTCTACCAATCCATGTGACAAAGCGACCAAGATTCCGCACTGGCGCTTTCTTTATGCGACCTGCATCAAGAACGAAGTCTCCCTGTATCCTCGCCTGAATTCCATCTGCTGTAGCCGACTCAACCGAAATATTAGTTGGCTTGAACACGGCGGCATCCACTGCATACTGTTTCACGACAGCAGGCGCAAGAAAGGCGAATATGAGAATTGTTATAATCGCAATCAGAGATAGCAGGATGCAGAGTATTGGCCATCGTACTCTGCCTCGTGGTTTCTTTGGATCATTGGCGGAAAGAAAGTCTTCTGAAGCTGCCGAAGATCGTCTGGGTGCAACGCCTCCATATGTTGCCAAGTCCTCTTCCCGGCTGAGGAGTAAAGGGGTGGACTCGGAAGATAATTCGAATGGAAGTGCAGGACTCGAGTCGGAAGATTGTCGTTTGTCAGTCGGTGAGGACGGACGTGAAGAGGGCCTGGACCCCTTGTTCAGTAAAGACCTGCTTGCCTCTTCAGCCATGATGGCTGGGGGCGGATAAGTGGGGAGATGGAGAAGAGGGATGCGGAGGAGATAACACGATAGCAATACGTTATGGATAGATAAGAAAGGTGATAAAGAGATGATGGTGTCCGTAGACTGAGAACAGAAAGCTACCGGGGGTTATGAGTCGGTAGAAGGGAAATTCCAGGCTAAGAATAAGCATCAGAATAATCGACTTGTGTATGGACAACGCACGCAGGATGAATTGGCCCAGACCTGGAAGTATAGCCTATCAATGTGAATCAGCGTGATGATCGGCAATCATACGACGCTAACCCGAGCTGGAGAAGGCGTGGTGTGGAGACGGAAAAAGCGGATCACATTGGAGGAGTCACACTTAACGCTTTCAAGCTGACTGAACTGACTCGACGAGCGAGCTAAGGTACGATCTTTCTTTTTTCTTTTTTTTGTTGCTGCTGGTGACTCTTTCCTTTAGTCCGGTAAGAAATTGAGTCATCTCAATTCCCCGATTCTTGCTCTATATATTCCTCCTGTACGCCATTGCTTCACCGCATACACCACCGTTGAATTATCTCATCATGACTTGCGGTCTGAAGCTAGCCGCCGCTCGTTACGGCAACCATACCTTGCGCCAGAGGATCCCACTCAACGCGGTGCGCCGATACTCTTCTCAGACTACTACTTCTACGGCTCCCCCCACCTCGCCGTTTGCTCCTCGCCATTTCCTTTCCATCGCTGATCTTACCTCAACGGAGTTCGCAACCCTCGTCCGCAATGCATCTTCACACAAAAGAACCATCAAGTCCGGGTCCATCCCTCAGAATCTGCTTGGCTCGATGACTGGGCAAACAGTCGCCATGCTGTTCAGCAAACGCAGTACCAGGACCAGGATATCTACTGAAGGGGCTGTGGTGCGCTTGGGAGGACATCCAATGTTTCTAGGCAAGGATGATATCCAACTTGGGGTCAATGAGTCCTTATATGACTCTGCAGTTGTAATCTCCTCCATGGTCTCTTGCATTGTAGCCCGAGTCGGCAAGCACGCTGAAGTTGCAGACCTTGCCAAGCACTCAACGGTGCCTGTGATCAACGCTCTCTGTGACTCCTTCCACCCCCTCCAGGCCATTGCCGATTTCCAGACCATCTACGAAACATTTACTCCTAAGGCCCATCGCTCGGATAGTTTGGGTCTCGAGGGCCTCAAGATTGCCTGGGTTGGCGATGCAAACAACGTTCTGTTCGACATGGCGATCGCTGCTACCAAGCTAGGTATTGATATCGCCGTTGCGACCCCGAAGGGCTATGAGATTCCTGCTCCGATGATGGAGTTCATCAAGCAGGCCAGCAATGGTGTCTCGAAGCCAGGAAAGATTATTGAAACCAACGTTCCTGAGGAGGCGGTTAAGGGTGCAGATATCCTGGTGACTGACACCTGGGTTTCCATGGGACAGGAGGCTGAGTCGATCAAGCGAATTAAGGACTTCGAGGGCTTCCAGATCACTTCGGAACTTGCCAAGCGTGGTGGTGCGAACGAAGGCTGGAAGTTCATGCACTGCCTGCCTCGTCACCCTGAGGAAGTCAGCGATGAAGTTTTCTACAGCCCGCGATCCCTGGTCTTCCATGAGGCGGAGAATCGGCTGTGGGCTGCGATCTCAGCCATGGAGGGCTTTGTTGTCAATAAGGGAAAGATTGAGTAAGCCTTGAAAAAGAACTAAATCATCAAAAACATAGTCTGAATATCCATCTCGAGTGAATTAATGGACGTGTCTGACTTCCCATACCAACCTAATGTATAGAACACCAGAAATATGTATTGGAGTAAAACACATCTATATACGGAGCACACGAGAACAGTGTCTGGTAGAATCCGTAGTTCGAGCACTGACATAGTGATATCAACAGAACTCTACCATCTGATCAAGGAAAATCCTACCAATTTACCTAACAGAAAGAAAACAGCCCTAAAGGTTATAAGAAAAAAGTCCAGAATGGAGCAAAGCCGTTGGTGCCCGCATTCACATGTCACGGGCGGAGTTGCCGACAAAACAAGGCCAACAACCCTCCAAAATCTCATGAGTTGCTGCATCCATCATACCATTAATGAGCTTGCCACTCTCTTAGTTCCCTCTTCCGATATTTATTGCCCTCCGTGGCCCCAGGCACTTTAGATGGAGGTATGTACTTCCCTGCTGACGGGTAGTAATAATTTACCTTCTAATGACTCCACAACAGCTTTCGCACTCCGGGGGCGGCTTTCGCTCGCGCCGCTCTTATCCCTCACTAAACCATGCTTCCCTAGCTCCCTTGACATCTCGATTCCCCATTGATGACGATGTCGAGCATCAGGATTACTTTACCCCCAGAGCTGAAGATGCTGAGTCCTACCACAATGCCCATGATATACCTACAAAGACTTCGTATCTCTCTAGTTACTCCGTTCCTGGTACCCCAGGTCTCTTGTCTCACTCCCGCAGCGGGTCCAGGCCCGACACCACCAGCGGAGTAAAAGCTCGACCCGCGCACACCTGAGCGACACCAACCTCGAAGGCCAAGATGATGCCCAACCATTTCACCACCAAACGCCGAGGACGAAGCGACACTCATCTCGTCCTCGCCCGTCAGACTCAGCTGGTCGTCGCGATGCAGAGTGGATGCTCCGCGCTGGGATCGCACTAGCTTCGTCGACCCGAGAAGAGAAGGGCCAGAGTTGGCTCGCGAAGCGAGAGAGCTCGACTAGTCTAGTTGATGAAGGTAACTACGACGTGGAGTCCCCTGGTCACTTTAGCAAAGTGACTAGGAAATCCAGATCTGGGCGGTCAACCCCGGCGGCCTCTCGGTCGCGCGTTGTCAGTAGAAGGGGCAGTCGGCCTGACCTTGCCATGACCGGCCTCGAGATGACTTCTACTAGGCCGGGTGATAGCGGCAGGCTAGAGAGTCCTGCGCTTGATGTGCGACATTTCATCCCGGATTTTGTGGACGAGCGTATCCGTGCGGAGATGGCGATTCTTCAACAAGAGGAATATACCTCTGATTCTGACGAGTACTCTGACTCAGAGGATGATATCGATGAGCTGGAGCTGCAGCGCTTGACCCGAGAGCGCGGTTTTGGGTTGGGCAGCTGGTTTGATCGCATGGTGGAATGGACAGTATTTGGTGTTGATGACTGGCCACTTTCTTATTCCAGCGGGCCTGTTGACCAGGCTCCCAAGAATGTTGAGTGGGCAGAGCCTAGTGCCGCTGATGAAGACGACGACCAGGTATCCATATCAGGACGGACTGATAGGACTGATGGTGCGTCGACCATTGGCGATCCTGAGGACCCGACAGTGATAGACAAACCAGGCGACCATGGGGGCTGGGAAGATGCATGGTGGCTATTTGGTGTGATGAAGCGTACGCTGTTATGAGTATGATTCTGTTGCTTGAGTAAAGCATGGGGGGCGTATAGAATGTCAGATTGTGGATTGCTTTTTGGTATATATAATTGTTCAACCTAAGACATGGATTTGATGACCATACGAATATTTCCTCGTTATGTACTGTAACGCATATGATATTTAATATAACACTGTTCTAAATGTCACGTCACAACTCTCGACTCCATCTTTTACATAGTTGTTAAACAATACGTCCTCTTTGCTAGACATAAAGTCAGTTTTCCAACAATACTAGCCTCATCCCTCACCGAGTTGATTCTGCCCAACAGACCCCTGTCAGCAATTCTGATACTGGTTCCATGGGTTCAATCCACTCGCTCCACTACCCCTGAGGAAATGGCGCAGATGCCCACGTAACGGGGCTGATGGGTCCTCTGAGTTGTTCAATCCATCTTGCGTCCACTGCCCATAAAACAGTGACACAAATCAGAATAATTCTTTTTTCTCTTTTTTCTTCTTGTCCTTTACTTGACACGTAACCTGACCCGGTGACCGAAAATTTCAGTATATAACTGAGTCCTCCCAAGATGCATAGAGAACAAAACACAAGTCACATTCCAGTAGAATAAAGAAAAATATGAAAGGGTATACAAGTCAGGTAGAAAGGTAGAAAAGATAGAAACCTAATCAATATAGTTCGGTAGAAAGTTCAAGAAACGTCCGAAATGTCGATCGTAGTAGAATAAGAAAGAAAACCAAAGGAAATGAATCAAAGAAGGATAGAAAACCATGCTTAATCTTGATGACACAATGACATGGTGATGATAAAATGAAACCTGGGCCACGGGCTGATACTCTAAGGAAAGGCAACATACAGATGGACTCTGACTGGCACAAGATGAAAATGAGAGGGCGACAAAAAAAAAAAAAAAAAAAAAAAAGAAGGATGTCTCTTTGCACACTGTAAACGCCAAGTTGACCCTCAACTCTCTAGTTCATGCAGTTGGTATCGTGATCGTATCATACGTAGATGTGCACGGTCGAGGATTTAGACAGTAGTTCTGGGGATATCGAAGACGAGAAGATATAGGTGTCTCTAGGATAATCGTAGGGTATAAATAGGTCATAGAAGTTGGTGGGTTTACCATGGCCCAACTTTAACTGGAGTCCCCAGTCCGTAGGTGCCGGACAGCAGCTGCTCCCGGATGGACCCAAAGTCATTACCGCCTGGGCTTGCATGAGTTTGGGTTTCAGGTCCGTGCATCCATCCTAAACTGACTCCAAGCTCGTTGACGGCCGCCTGCAGCTTACCACCGGAGTTTTGGTTGTGCTTCGCCAACTTCTGATCCCAACCACCATACTGTAACTGAATGCCCCCGCCACGTTTGGCAGCCTCCCGGATCACAAGGATCCAGGCCTTGCAAATTTCATCGTATGCAGAGTCCCGCTCTATGTTGTTCTGGGGCGTGTGCCATCGTGGTAATGCGTGAATGATTTCGGTGGCGCCATCTAGGTAATTTAGAGATAAAGAAGGTTGGGTTTCGTTAGGTGGTAAGAAGTGCGGTGTGAAGTCGCTCAAGGCATCTAGAAGATTGGATAGAGGTTGTCGAACTCGGTTATAAGCGTAGTCGGATGCCGGGTTGCCACCCAAGGGGAAGGAGGATTGGAGAGTAGATTGGTAATTTCGAAGCACCTGAAGAGCGGAGGATACACTCGGGCGAGGAGCAGTATGAACAACTTCATCAACTAGTCCCGGATGGCGTTCACACATCGATCGAAGGACCCCTCGGAGAGCATCTGTATCTAAGGTCTCGAGCAAACGAGGAAGCGACAGGGGTCGACCGCTGACATTCGGGCGGGCCCGTTTCAGATTTCGACTAGGAAGAGACCTCGGTGTGAATGCTGGCGAGCTCGTCGGGGAGGCAGACATTCGTCCATCATGATCGTTACCATCGTCGTCGGCTTTCCGCTTGCGGCTATTAGGGGTGTAGGTTGGTGTAGACACTGGAAGATATTCATTAGCATATTCGTTATCTCGACCATCGGCTATCAATGTAAGGGGGTTTCTTACTTGGACGAGGGGAGGAAAGACGGGAATATTCGTAAAAGTGTGGAGGCACAGGTGGTGTAGCCACCAAGCTGTTCATGATGACCACGGACAGTTGGTGGGCGGAGAGATGGGAGAAACCTGACGCTGACTGAACGACGGTGGTATGGGGTATTATAAGAAGTCAGCTACAGGGCACGAGGAGAGGGTGCAGAGGGAAGAGAGAATGCAAGGGAAAGACAAAAAATACAGGAAGAGAGACTGAAGGAGTGAGGGAGAGAAGATGGAATTGGTGGGGAAGAGAGAAAGCAGAGAAGCGGTGGACTGGAAAAGGCGGTTGCGGGAGGCAACGCACGCCTTCTGTGCAGGTCGAGTCTCCATGATGACTACGACATTATTTTCCTTATCGTCACTTTCTTATATTCATTCCTTTTTCTTTTTTTTCGTTTTTGGCCTCCAACTTCAGTCTTGAAGGTTTATGAAAACTCAAACAGTGACTCGAATCTTTGTTTTGTTTTAGATTTATTTCCGTTGCTCTGGGCCCCCTTGCCATGATCACCGTTACCATCATCAATCATCATAATACAAAGTTTGAGGGGGTGGGAACTATACGCAAAAGTTCTCATGAATTTTAATTTTTATTTCATTTCACCCATAAAAACATATGGTAAAGTAATTACACGGAAAGCAAACCACACGATGATACCCTGTTTTTCAAGCCCTCCGACGCCAGGGAAATGCCACCACCACCACTCATCATGACAATTTGTCAAACACAAGTGGAAACACGATGGTTGGGATGAAAGTAATATCGCTGTAAGAGAAGTAAGGTAGTAGTTGTAGTAGTAGGAGTCGTACGTCTATAGATACAAGGACTGTGCGGCAACAATGTCCCTGCGGACCTTGGTTAAGGCGGTCTCAAATTTACTCTCAAGTTCCTCGCTCCCCATGACCTTGGCGGCCTGTGCCATCTGTCGTAAACATTCTTCCAATCGGCGGAAGACGCGGATCAAACTGCCTTCGTACACATCCGTCATTTTACTGATGTGATGAAAGAAGGAATCATTAGCGTCTTGTCTCACTCTGAACTAAACGGTGGCAAACAGGGACTCACCAGATATCAGCGAAGGACTTGCCATTCGCCCAGTCATATATAACCTCCATCAACTCCCAATGGAAGCTCTGCACATACTCCTCTTCATTGACAGCGAGCTTTGACTCCTGAGAAACCTTGGCAACAATTCGGGCTTGCGCCTGGATTTCCTTGAGGGGCTTCGCCAACTCGTCCCGTGTTAGGGCAGGGGTCTCCTTGGACTTCTCTTCGAAAACGAATACACTCAGCACCGAAGCGACTTGTTCAGGCGTAAGATTGTTGAAGAAACCATTGAAAAGCAACTCGCTGAGCATCAACTCATCACCCGTGCTAATTTCACAGGCCACACGGGCTTTCAATTGCACGACCTCCGCTTCGTTGATGAACCCAAACCGACGAAGCACTCGCTTGCGGCACTTGAGTTCGTCAAGCTGCATGATCGACATAGCCTCGGAGATCTTCTTTTTGGTGGCCTTGATCTTGGATCCAGTTTCAACCTTGTCTGAGTACTGTTCATAAAGTTCCGGCAGACGTGGCGAATTGTGTAATGGGTTAGAGAGGAGACGAGATTCAAGCACTTCAATTTTCTGCGGTCTGCGTTAGCACACCTTAGACATCCATTCACAACGAAACTTATCTTACCCTGAGCAACTTCTTGAAGTTATCATCCTTGATGTTCATATTTTCAATCGGATCAAGTACAGCGATGCCGTCAGGGAAGCGCTTTTGCACTTCATCCAAAGCCTTCTTTACCCCATTCTTTGAATCTGCTGAACGTAGATCCTTCGGGAGGAAAATTCGAATGTGAGAGATGGAGTGGACACAGCTGAGGACTACTGGCACCACCTCCATGCGGGAGTTTTCGCCCTCCTTCGGCGGCCTGACGCCGGACGGCAATTCTTCAAAGGTCTTAGTGCCCACCGACGGCCCGTCGGCGATCCTCAGTAAAACGTCAACAACATATTTCTGGTACGGTGTAGGTTCTTCAGTCGAGTTCTTTGGGGGCTTGCGTTGTTTGTAGTTAACAACGACACCCCATCCGAAATCTACATCCTTGTGCTTGATGCTGATCAAGCGTCCAGGCTGAATAAAGGGAAGGCAGTAATTGGGATGACTTATAACTGCCTGCATGTCATCGGTGAATTGGCGGATTTGTTTCCTCAGATCGTAGTATTCACGAATGGTTCCTTCGTCAGAGATAGTCATGTTGGCCCTCTTCTCCTCCAACTCAGCAAGCTCTGTACTCAAATTAGCAAGATGAAATAGTATCAACACATGGGTATACACATACCCTTTTCAAGAGTGGCAACGCCGGCAGTATTTTGGAACTGGTAGAAACATCTTTCCAGCATAAATTCAGGTGAGATACCCTCTACACGCATGAGGTTCAGAATCATGTTGTAGCCCAGATGGAATGCTGAATTCAGTCGGTCTTGTTCACCACGGACGATCTCCTTCGCTACAGCGGGATCCATCTCTTCACCAACCATCATAATAACAATACCTCGGTCATCGAGACCTCTCCGACCAGCACGACCGGACATCTGAATGAATTCTGATGGGGTGACCCAGCGCTGACTGAATCCGTCGAATTTGCGAACGCTTGTGAAAACAACGGTTTTCGCGGGCATGTTGAGACCGATAGAAAATGTTTCAGTAGCGAAAAGAACCTTGATAAGACCTTCTTGGAAGAGAATTTCAATGGTCTCCTTCAGGATGGGAAGAAGACCAGAGTGGTGGACACCGATACCTCTGCGCAAGAGAGGTAGAATGTTTTGAATCTGCGGGAGGTTCCTGTCCTCCTCTGAGAGCATCTCAATCGCGCTGTTAAAAACCTTGGAAACCATTTCCTTCTCAGAGTCGTCGTTAAAGGCTAGGTTGCTCATCTGTAGAGCACCTGACTCGCATTCACGCTTGCTGAAACTGAAGACGATCACAGGGTTATAGTTTTTGATCATGATCATCTTGACGATCTTGAAGATGTCGCTTGGGCCCTTATTTCCACCTTTGTTCAACTTCTTATCTTTGCCCTTCCCTTTCCTCTTGGCCATGGCATCCGCTGGGTCATCGCCCTTTTTGTCCGCAATAGTGCTCATAGCCTTCTGGAAGTTTTCCTCACGGAAAACACCTTTCTCATCTACAACCAGGTGGATTCCTTCGGCACCAGCAGGGAAGAAATAATGCTGTAAGGGTGTCGGTCTGTAATCGGTGTAAACAACGTGGCAAGGTTGGTTGTGCATCTTGACGATCCATTCGGCGAATTGCATGGCGTTGGGGATTGTGGCGGACAAGAATACATATCGAACCTTATCTGGAAGCAGAATGATGGTTTCCTCCCAAACCACACCTCGGGCTATATCCCCAGTTAACGAGATGAATCCCAGCGTCAACCCTGAAGAGACTTACTCGCATCACGCATATAATGAATTTCATCGAAGACAACCCACGCGACCTCACGCATGATCTCAGAGCCACGGTAGAGCATAGACCGCAAAATCTAAATCATGTTAAGAATACAAGGCCCAGAACAAGGGTGAGGAAACCTACCTCCGTTGTCATGACCAAACAAGTAGCCGTCGGGTTGATGGTAACATCACCAGTCATTAGGCCAACATCTCCAAACTCCGCTGCAAATTCTCGGTATTTCTGGTTGCTAAGGGCCTTGATTGGACTTGTATAAATAACTCTCTGGTTGTTCTTCAAGCTCTGGGCGATAGCATATTCGGCGACCACGGTCTTTCCAGCACTAGTGTGGGCTGAAACAAGTACACTTTCCTCTCTTTGAATCGATGCGATGGAAACCTGCTGGAACGGATCGAGGGTGAACGGCCATACTCGCGCCGGGTTCTCGGGAGCTTTATGCTCGGAAATGGGCACATATGGATAGTTCGGTGGAATCGCGACCTGGTGGCGAATTTGATGCGATAATACAACTGATGCTGAATCATTGGCGGCTTGAAGTCCTGCAGACCCGGCGACTTCACGCTCTTGCGCCGTCTCGAACAAGTCGGCTACCACGGGCTCCGGTTCCTTCTCGAGTCGCGGCCGTTTCGCATCTGGTTGTTCATTGTTGTCTGTTGTAGGCGCGTCGCCCTCCTCTGGCTCGGAAGTCTCTTCAACAGGGGCATCGGCGACGGCGACGGGTTCCTTTGCCTCTACAGTGGCGCCACTTTCCTTCACATCGCCATTGACCTGACGTTTCTTGCTCTTGTCTTTCTTGGAACGTTTGGGAGCTCCGTCAGAGGGCTTGACAGCCTGGGGCTGGTCCTCAAAAACATCGAAAAGTTCATCCATGGTCGGTCGAACGTTCAAGGTCGGCCGCAAGGAGCAAGGACGGACAACGACCGGATGGTTGAAGTGCTCGTCGCACTATGTCGCACTCGCCGATTCACTGAGAAATTTCAATGTTCCTTTTGAGCCAGGCGGCATGTGATTGGCCAGAGCCACTCCTGCTGGACTTTCCGCCGGAGAAACTTGCCGTTCGGAATAGCTAGCACGTGACCTATATCCCGGGCCGACGATTGTCATTCCACCACTCCTACTCTTCCCGCCAGTTACGAGAAAGAGTAGATTGCCTTGACCATCCGTGCTCTGCCGCTTTCCTCAAGGTAGGTAAACTGCTGGCTGAGATATACATCTTCCCAATTGCATCTGACACAGCCAAAGATGAACGCCGCTACCGCTCTCCGGGCCAGAATGGCCACCTCTTTCGTCGCCCGTCGTGGCTTTTCCACCACCCGCGCCCAGCTCGGCAGCCCGTTCCACTACGCTGAGGGTCCTCGCTCCAACATCCCCTTCAACCCTCTTACCAAGTTCTTCTTCGTCAGGTACTGGGCCTTCATGAGTGAGTGATTCTCAATTGATCGCTACGGGTTGGATCTGTTCTGCGTTGCTGACTTCTACCGTTTAGTCACCGGTTTCGGTGCTCCCTTTGCCATTGCTGGTATGTTATTCTTCAATTTGCCGACGGTTTTGGTCGAATATCTAACAAGATCTTCTCTACAGTC